CATGTGACTAGGCCTCATTTTTATTGGTTTGTGCCCAATCATGTGGCGATTGTTACGTTATTACATAGAATTTTGTGATATAAATACCCTACTCTACCTAATCTAACTCTCTTTTTTAGGCCGTATGATCATTGTAAGCATGTTAAAAAAAAATTTTGGGAGAGGGTGGGGAGACGATGATCTTTAATTTACTTACTTCACTTGTCTATTTACAAATGCATTTTACTGTGTTTATACATTTAGATAAATGAATGTTGCTATGTAAGTAACTTGCAGATCATGTGACTAGTGTGAAGTATTATTACTCGTGGCTGCTATAATTCCTTGCATAATTTGATTCTTCTGAATCATGATCATAACTCCTCATTGGTAGAAGTGTTGATAGATACTATGTCTTGACCAGTTGCCCATTGCAAGTATTATTGCAAAGTCTGCACCTGAATTCTGAGTATAAAATGCTGCTAACAATCTTGCATCCTTGGTTTTTAGGTTTGAAGATGCTTCCTTTAAAATTTCCTTAATCCATCTTGCAATCATATCTACTAAGATGAAAAAATAGGTGTTCGTCAAAATTAGGAATAAGTGTTTTCTCTGTTCTTTTGTAATTTGCCAGGCATTAGTATGTTTAAGAAGTGTATTAACAGCATTAAGTGGTAAGATTTCTGGTAATTCTTTATAGTTCTCTATGTATACTCTTTTGATTTGTGATTTGTTGCTGTTATGAGTAATTAAAATTTTATGTTCCTTGGAGTTCTTAATATTAAACATTATGCTGTGCTCTGTTTATACTTGAGAAGTAATGTCAATTCAGGATAGGTTTAAAGGATAACAAGCTGTAGTGATTGTTAGAAGAAATGTAATTTTCTGTAACAGTAATAATATATTCATCTTTTCATTATCGTCAAATGAACAAATTTTGTCAAAAGATGAGACAAGGTTGACCACATTATCATTATGTAGAGGAGGATAGTTGGTGTTATAAACTTCTTTTATTGTCTTTATTATTCTAGGATGTGAACCAATTGGAGAATTATCAATCTAATCATATATTTTACTAATTGTGAATCTGTATCTAGCAATTGTGTTGTATGCCTTTTTTGCCTTTATTTGGTCATCAAAGAATTTGATTATGTAATTTATACTGCAAGTAATAGGATCAGTTTGCTTTTTACTACACCAATGTATTATTTTTTAATATTTAAAGATACTGTCTTCGAAGCATTCTTGTCATATGCTGCGATGTAAAGTTTGATAGCCTTTTCTAAAAGGCCCTAGTTCTTGAGACGTGTCCTGATATATGTGCTGTACATAGGTTCCACCTGTTTACTTGTTTGAACTGATCATAGTTGTTGGTTTGTTTCACTAAGTTCCTAATGAGAAGAATTGGAAAATCATCTAGAAGTAATAATAGTGTTGGAAACCAAAGAGCTGTTTGCTATAATGAGAATATTAGCATGATTGTTATCCTTTCTCTGATTACCTTGCATAATACTTTGGGTAGGAGAACCTATAATGGGTTTGCCCAAATATTCCAACCCTTCTAAGGAACTTGAAAAGCATCTGTAACTAAGGCCTTCGGGTCTGGTTTTCAGGAAATGTAACTCAGAGTGAGGTGGTTCTGATAGTTGGCAAAAATATCGAGGTCTCTCAGGCTTCATATTTGTTGAATTTAATTAAATGTTCTTTTGAAGATCTTCCAATCATGCCTGTCTACCTGTTTTTATGATGCCTGGTCTGCTAGTATGTTGAGTCATCCTAAAATATGTTCTGCTCTCAGATTCACTTGGCATTTGATACATTCTAACTATATTGATTCTGCTAGATAACTCAATTAAGTTGAGGTGGTTCCACTCTGATTGTTAATATATGATACCATCATTTTGTTGTTGCTCCAAATGAGAATGGTTTGGTTGTTTATATACTTCCATTTGTCTAGCACTTTCTTTACTGCTAGGAGTTCCAGATAATTGATGTGTTTCTGTTTTATTTTTCCTGTCCATGTTTCAAAGATCACTTGGTTATTTAGAACTGCACACCATCTCAATTTGGAGAAATCTGTAAAGATCACTGTGAAGTGGTCATTGAATACGATTTTTCTTCTATTTCATTTTTTAAGGTTTTTTATCTAGCACTCTAATTGTTTCTTGTTCTCTGCTGATAATGCTATCCTCACATTCCAACCCTAGCATCTCAGAGCTCTGTTCTTGTTTCTGAATAAAGCTCTTGAAAAAAGTTTTACTGGTAAAAAGACTTCTGTTGTAGCATTCATCCTGCCTAATAAGGCTGCTAGCTTGTGAATATGAACTGCTTTTGTAGCCTTCAGTTTCTTGCATTTTCAAATGATATCTTTGATTTTTTTTGTTGAAATCTTGAAAAACATGTTGGTTAAGTTCACCTTGAAGCCAAGAAATTTTATTGTTCACATTGGTATTAATTGTGATTTTTTGCTGTTTATTATGAATCCAAGGTAATCTAGCATCCCACAAACTTTCTTGGTATGCTCTATAGCTTGCTTTTCTGATTCTGTCATTATTATGATGTCGTCTAAGTAGATGATTAATCTGATCTCCTGAGCTCTCAGATGCTTTATTATCAGTTTTAGAATCTTGGTAAAGATCCTGAAACTTGTTGTGAGTCCAAAGAATAAAGTCATGAATGCATAACATGAATTTAGAAAATCAAATGCGAAGAAGGACCTTGATGAATAAGCTAATAGGATGTGATAAAAAGCATTCTTTATATCTATCTTTGTCATGTAATTCTTTAGTTTTAGTATTATTTTTACTAACTGGATTTCTTCTATCTTGAATCTTTGATGTAGTACAAATAAATTTAGAGATCACAAGTCTATAACTGGCCTTAGATCTTTTGACTTCTTTGGTATAAGAAAAAGTCTTAATAAAAAACACAGTTTGTTTAAAGAGATCTTGGTTATAACCCCTTGGGCCAATAGATTGTTGATTTCTGATTTTAATGCTGATCTTTTCTAATGTGAATATGTTTAGTTAGACAGTATTTGGCATATTTTTAGTAGTACTGTTTGCCAAATTGGTTTGTATTTATTTTTTAATATATTTAGTATTCACAAGTCACCAACTGTCCTGGTCCATTTTGAATAAAAATAGCGTAATCTTGTGCCTACTGTATTCTTTATTGATGTAATTGAGGTTGGGACTCATTTTGGTAAAAATTTGAAAATTGTTTCCAATTGAGTATATTATTAGACTATAAATTTTGCATATTATAATGATAGAACCTTTCTTTATTAGAATAATTTTGTTAAGATGAGCTTCTCTTATTTCCTAGATGAAGGTTTTGTGCTTGTCTATTCTGTCACAGAGTGTTATTGAAGAACTTAGTTTCTTTATTCTTTTCCTTAATAATGTTTTTAAGTTTTTTTGCAAAAAGATGTTCCATTTCTGATTTTTTTGATGATTAGGAAAAATGCATTTGATGGTATGTTCTTGTCTTTGATTACCCATATAAGATAATGAATCCAAAATAAGTGTTCTAGTAAAGAGCAGAGATAACTTTATATATTCTCATATTTCCAGAGCCTGCTTGTTTTGCACATCAGGTTTTGTTTGATATAGTGTGTGAATAGCATTATTTAAAGGTCTGAAAGCAGAAAAGTAATAATAATAGATTTTTTATAAGGTTTTATCTACTTCTTTTGCCTTTCTTGACATATGTTTGAGTAATTACTTGTCCATAGATGGGGGTGTAAATTTAATGTTTGTGTTTCTGAGAAAGGTTTATAAAAGATGTTGACACGTTTCATTGAGAATTACATTTTTCTTATAAATTTTAGTGGAGAGTTTATCCATCTCTTCTGCTAGAAAAAAGGTAGTATCATTGATATTAGTAAAGTCATGTTCTTTATCTAATACTTGTTGGATATCATCTTGAATGATTATGTTATTAGTATTAAGATCATTATGAGCCATAAAGGCTTGTACAATTAGAATTAACTTTTGGGACTTTGAAGTTGTGAACAGTAAACCAAATAAAAACAGCCTAAAAAAGAAAGTTAGATTAGGTAGAGTAGAGTATTTATATAGTATAAAATTCTATGTAATAATATAACAATCACCACATGATTGGGCACAAACTAATAAAAATGAGGCCTAGTCACCTGATCTGCAATTTACTTATATAGCAATGTTCATTTATTAATACTGTAATATAAAATTACTGAACTATACAACACAAGCCTAGTTCTAGCCTCATGTTGGTTCCTCACAATTATTATATGCTAATACAGCTCATCATACCTTATCTTTAATACCAAAAAAATAAAAATAAAAATAAAAATTTCTATTATACATATGCTAATAAATCAGTATATATAAAATCAAGTAAAAAATTAGATTATCATAATAATTTTTTTTTTTTAAATATTAATGGTGAGGCCATGCCTTTAACTTTATTGAAATTCAATTGAAGTTTTTACAAAG